ATATCTCTAAAATTATCGCGTGTACCTATTTAAATGAAATTAAGTTTTTTAAATATCAGACACTTTCATCTCGTCTTCATGATCACGGTTGCTGTAAAGGAAGCGAAATGTCTTGATCATGTGGATTTTAAATATTAAAAAATGCGTAGTATCCAAAAAAACTTCATTTAAAAAAATTCATTTAATTTCTTTAAACATAAAACACATAACAATATTTATAATCTCTATTCTCATGGCCCGACGTGACTCATGAAATAGAAAGCTGTTCGTGACATCGAGCGTATTCAAATCAACGTATGACTAATAATGTTTTTGCAAACTTTTTCAACCATTCAATAATATAATCTATTATTACAGTAATAATCATTTATATATTACTAGCTTTCCGCCCGCAGCTTCGACCGCGTGGAGTTCGGTTATATCGCGTTTCCAAGAGAACCTTTCAAAAGTCTGGTATAAAAACTATCCTATGTTCTTTTTCAAGGTCAACTCTATCTCTGTGCCAAATTTCATTAAAATCAGTTCAGTGGTTTAGGCGTGAAAGCGTAACAGACAGAGTTACTTTCGCATTTATAATATTAGTAAGGATTATGATAAATTCCAACACAATATATATATATGTGCAATAGTCGTTATTAGTAACCAAAAACAAAACACCGTTTTAAGTGTTGCAAGCAATAAAAAAACAAATATATAATTAAATACGACGTACGTATGAAGTAATTTAATTTTATACGATGAGTATAAAGTTATATAAATGGTCTGCAAATAAAATCGTATAAGTTATACGAACGAATGCTATAAATTATGTGTTGTAATATAGGATGTTTGTTTTTGAGTTTAAATGAAGTAATGCTTCCAAAAAAGTCAGATAACCGTGAAATTTCTAAATATCATACCTATTTTAAGATTCGTCTTAATATGTAAAAAAGAGTCTTGTTAGAATATTTATAACTCAAGAACGACTGTACGGGTTTGAATCAAAATTGGTGGAGAGATAGCTTAGAACCAGGAAAAGGAAATAGGATACTTTTCATCATAATGTAAAAGAAAACAAAAATAAGTTGATACAATGCAGAATATTATTATATATATGCCTTTAAGGAGGAACAGAACTCGCCCGGTTATATATTTCTAATTCTGAAACTAACGCAGACGAAGTCTCGGGCAAAATCAAGTAATATATATAAATTTCAATCCAAATATGTATGTATTGTAATGTTTATTCATATAGGTATATATACAATAATCTATTTGATTTTTGTGTCGTTTGTTCAGAGTAATCATACCGTGTCAGTCAATTTGAAATGTACTTTTACCGAATAATGTTTATAGGACAATAAATTGGTGATATTTTAATGACAAAACATACAAAAAATTCGATTTAGTTTATAAAGAATAATTAACTAATAGGTTATTTACGTTCTAACTGTACTTAAAATGTATTATATTTTTCTTTTTATTTAAAGGAAAAGGTTTTTTTACTTTATACCTAAGTAAACTTATTTAATTTTATTCCCTCCATTGGCTGTTATAGACCACAAGATGGCGCTGGTTTTAAAAACGTTAACGGAATATTGACAACTCATAAAACATTGCAAAACCATTAATCTTCTTCTATATTATACAGGGTGACTGGTGAATTACTATCAATATTGAAGGAGAATACTCGGTATATGATTCTCATTCGAATTATGTAAAAAAAATAGGCACTTAATTTTTGACAAAATTTCCGTATAAATAAATAAAGTGTTGACACGTTCCAAGTGTTCCAAGTGTGGACGCGTTCGGCGACGTGCTGATACAACACTACGCAGACGCACGCCTATGTGTGGGTGTGTGAGTATACCTAATCTGTAGGGTGTTCACACGATGCGTAATTAATAACATAACTTTTGGTTAACTTTACTTAGAAGTTTATTAATATTTATGTTATATTAATTTTTATTTTGTCATATATGATCGTCAAATATCACGTCCTCAAGTATCGATAGTAATTCACCAGTCACCCTGTATATATAAATGGATTGCTGTTCCTTAGTCTCGCTAAAACTCGAGAACGGCTGAACCGATTTGGTTAATTTTAGTCTTGAAATACTCCTGGAAGTCCAGGGAAGGTTTAAAAGGTGAGAAAAATTGCAATAACTGCCGGGAAAACCCTAAAAACAGCCCTTTTTTATTTCCCATACAAACGTTTTTTTTTGACATTAGATTTGACAACTAACTAATATGTCAATCATTCTGTTTGAATGAAGCAGGAAAAACCTGATTATTTATGGCCTCTAAGACGGAATAGAGTTCGCCTGGTCAGCTATACCTACATATTATATTACTCTTGACCAAACTAACGCGGACGAAGTCGCGGGCAAAAACTAGTTAATAATATATTTCTTATGTATATTTTAAATTGGATTTCTTTATCTATTTACACATATTTATTTATAGGGAAATTTTATTTTACAAATTAAACATTCATTGAAATAATACATAATATAGAATATACATCCATCAGTCAGTGGTGGCCTAGTGGTTTAAGGTCCCGCCTCTCGTTGCCGAAGGCGCGTGTTCGATCCTGGCCCGGGCAAGTTTCAATGTGATTTTTCCGAGTCATATATACTTTCTAAGAGTATTTAGACATCTCTGATTAATGTTGATTCCCAAAAGAGGGTTGATGTCAGGCAGGCGACCGGTCGTAAAAACAAATAGCCAAAACTATTCACAAACATGTAAGGCAGACCCTGGCTAGAGCTGGGAAATTGCCAGGTAGGAGAAGAATATACATCCATACTTGATAAAGCATTATTTATTCAAATATCTAAGAGTTATTACGTATATTAAAAAGATAATTTGATTTTTAATTCTTTTGTCTTCATTGCTCAATAAAATAAACATATAATTAATGACATATATAACCTTCCATTAAATCTCTGATCACAGACAAAATAAATAAGCCTAGAGTATAGTTACTATAGGTTTGAATTGTCATACTAAATACTTACAAATTACAGTTTTTCATATTTAAATCCTCACACACGAAAATGTTATTTGAGACAAACTTTTTTTAAGACAGACAAAAATTTTACTTCAAAACTGAAAACTATATTTATAACAAAATTGTAGTCAATTTTCACATCCTCACACTATACATAGTCTTAAATTTTTTTATATTTAAATCTTCATACATATTTACGTAGGTTTTTGAGTGAAAAACGTGAAACTCTTCGTAAATGACGATGCAAAACTTGTAGTACAATAGTCAAAACGAGTCACAGTCGATAGCTATCAGAGTCAAGGGTGTAAGCACCATGAAGGTATTATTTAACAATATTGTCGTAATATTTTGTGTCATTACAAACAATGTTTATTTCATATATTGTTTTAAATTTAAACAATGGTATGCAAGTTGTATTTATTTTTTAACTGGCAACATAGGTTAATGACACAGAAACTTTTTTTTACATATAAATTGTTTATTGATGGCAATAATTTAAGTTAGAAACAAAAATATTACATATAGCAATTTATCCATTTCTAATTAACAAAATGTTATGTTATGAATAATTTAGCATACAAAGTAGTTTATTTATATTTATTCGAACTAAAAATGAATTTTTGTCCAAAAACAAACAGATATTATTTTTATAATCTTACTAATTTTAAATCTTTTCATATCTCTGGTTAATGTTTTATAAGAAATTCTTGATTTTTGTTTTAAGGTATCTGCTACAATTACTTAGTCTTTGGCATTTGTTCTTGTAAATAATAGTTGTATTTAATTTTTTCACTCACATTATACCTATTACAAAATTTAACATGGAATCTTAATTTACTAACAGGAATGTGCAAAATAAAAAATTATAAAACAGATATAATATTTATAATACAAGATGTATTTAGTTATGTTACTAAATAAAGTAAATAACTTTTACCATGATTTGCAGGAAAGCTACAATATTTATTTATTACGATAAACATTGTGTTCTTATTACATAACTTAAAACAAACAAACTTTGGACTTCTAAGTATGTATTTAGATTTTAGAAAATGCACATATTTGAGACATTTAAAAACTAATATTAATAGTTAAATTAGTACATAAACCTATAGAAAAAAGTATAAAGATGTTAACGACCTTTAAAAAAAGTTAAGTATTTAATTACCTATTAGATTATACATTTATACAACCATAAGAAAATCTATAGTTAAAGAACAGCTTAGTTAATTTTTAAATATGAATATTCAATTTATTCATTGTCTAATATATATATCTGTTACGTTATACTTTTTACTGTAAAAATGGCAAGCTATTATAATAAAGCGCCTTGTAAAACAAGCGGCTCTGTTCCACGAACGATGGCTATTGTGTTGACAAAGGACTATATGATAGACTAAGATAATTGAACAAGAATTTTCTTAAGAGATACGAGGATAAAATGACATTCATAATAATACTATACAAATGAGCAGATCCTTTGAGAACTATTTTCTCTTTATACCTATTTTAAGTAGTCAGTAGGCACTAGGTATTACATACATAAAACAACATTGAAAGATGTCAAAGTCAAATCTTTAATACAGATGTCATTACATTGTGTAATGCATTTTCTACAAAAATACTTTTATTTATATAGGTATCTTACATAAAAATAACTGGAAAATAATGTAATCATTTTTATAATTCTTAATGTTTTGGTATATTTTGTGATATGGTAACACTACTAAAATTATACATATGTTGGTACAATTGTTTTCGTATTATTTGGCATAAGCATATTTTTATGTTGGCTGCTGACCAGTGTGTAGTCGGTATTGCTCAACACTGTGTAAAATTTATCGCTGTAAGATTTTGATAAAACTATACATATTTAAATCAGATACGACGAAGTGGCGTTATAAAATATACATATAAATTAAAAATTTCATTAACATAGTGCAATAAACGGTGGCATTGTGTTAGTTTGTGTTAAAATCTTATGGTGCGGAAGAAATAAGTTTTGAAGATGAACAACACTTTAAGAACACCAAAAACAACGCCTATAACGGACGATTATGATATCTCAAACACGGTCCTCGGCCTCGGGATCAACGGAAAAGTGAGTTTTTACATAAATTATATTATAAAACATCGATATTTAATCGAAATTTTAAATTCCCATTGTTTACATTAATGACGTAAACGTTTTAAATTAACTAAAACCATTGAATTTTTTCTTCAATCTACTTCCTATAAGATATAAGGTTATTTTCCTCCTACATTATATTAATCTTCTATATTAGCCAATCAATATCTCTTAGACTTAAAATAAATCGTTATTCAAGAGAAAAATCCCAAAGTTGAGTCACGGAGATGTTACTATATTTAGAATTGGTGTATTTAAAAGTGTTTTCAAACATTACAGGAAACTCCTTACTACCTAATTAGTGTATAAGATAAGTTTAAAAAGTTTAGTTATTAGAAATTTTGTCTATCAATATTCCTACAACAATTTCAACTATAAACCTAGGTGCTGACATCTTAAAAAGTATTTAAAGTATAAAAAGTACTGACAACCATATATATATTTCATTAAGTATATCAAAACAGGAAAATAATATCTTCTAATTCAATTAATAGTTAATAAATTTAAAGTATTTTTAATAAAATGTGTAATATATGAATCACTTCATTTTTTTTATAGTATAAATAAATATGAAATTCTCTTATAAGAACTATGTGAGACAGATATATATATTTTAAATAGATTAATATACTTTAAAGTTAATAAGAATATATATAACAAATACTGTATGTTGTATATTCAAGACTTCTATACAAGTCTTGAAGTTATCTTTACCTTTTATATACAACTTTAATATATTCAAGACTTCAAGAATCATTACCTTTTATATAGCATCACATAACCTACTTAAATATTGAATACCTTGAAATTTCTTTATATTTTAATTCTTTAAGAAATTGTAAAGATAGTTGCCATACTAAAAATATTTCTCTTGAATGAACATATAAAGTACTATAATACAATCATTATGTAATCAAATTAATATACTAATTTTGTTATCTACTTAATATAAAAATATAAATTTATAGATAAAATTTTACACATTTTGATAATAATTTGTTGACTCATCAAGAAATGTCAAGTTCGTTAGTGATTTTTTTAATTATTCTAACATATTATCTATTTTACTATCTAATAAGGAGGTTCCTTATTTTAATCTCGTCTGCCCATGATCAAAGTTGCTGCAAAGAAACTAAAACATAAGTAAAATAGTTCAAATAATAAAAAACGCATTTAAATTTTAAAATATTAGTTTCATTTAAATTATTAATTGCAAGTCTTAGATCTCATTTTTGTTAAATTTTATCATGAAGTAAATATATATTATATTGTCTTCTAGCTAACAATATTGCTTAATTCGAAATTGGCGGTTTTACATATTAATGCCGTTGGAGGAACCTCCACAGTTGTCAAAATAAGTATAAATAATTATTTCTTAACTGCTACTTAGTGTATGCCTTCTACCTGGCAATTAATTTCTCAGTTTTAGCCAGGTTCTGCCTTACATGTTGTGAATAGTTTTGTCTAATTGTTTTTATGACCGGCCGCCTGCCTGACATCAACCTTCTTTGGGAATGCATTAATCAGTGATAACTAAATTCTCTTATAAAGTACATATGACTCGGAAAAATCACATTGGTACTTGCCAGGATCGAACACTCGCCCTCATGCATGAGAGGCGGGCCTTTTAACCACTAGGCCACCACTGACTAAAACTAGTGTATGTATTAAGTAAAAATAGAAAATAACACAGATATTTTAAAGTAGACATTTCTTTTTATATCCTGTAAAGTTAGTAAATGAGTTGCAGTGTTGTAAGCTAAGGGACAATGTGTATTAAATGCAAGTATTATTCAATTTAAATATTGTTCATGAATTATATATGTTATCAATAGTTGATTGGCTGTATTCACTCAACAGTGGCAATTTACAGTGAGTCAGTCATGTCATTGACATGGAATTATTATATTTAGAAAAACGATAAATGTATAAGAACCTTTTCATTGATGATTGTGTACAAAATTGAATTCATTGTAATCATCAGCTGATAATTTTAGTATGAGAAAAAGTACTATAAATATACAGTGGTGGTTAAAGGGCCTGCCTCTCGTTGCCGAGGGCGCGGGTTCGATCCTGGCCTAGGCAAGTACCAATGTGATTTTTCCGAGTCATATGTACTTTCTAAGACTATTTAGACATCACTCATTAATGTTGATTCCCAAAAGAGGGTTGATGTCAGGCAGGCGGCCGGTCGTAAAAACAAATAGCCAAAACTATTCACAAAAATGTAAGGCAGACCCTGGCTATAGCTGGGAAATTGCCAGGCAGAAGAAAAAGTACTATAAATAAATATTTGCAAGAATAATATAAATATAAATTATTTAAGAGTAGTCAAAGATATAATTTTCTATATGATATGATCTTATTTTCTATCTACCTTATATATCTATGTTTTATATCCACTCAACATTATTTGAAATATATGACCAATTTCAAAATCTCCTTTTTGCATTAGTAATAAAATAGTTCTGCATATATGAATCAGATGTAATTTTAAAAGAACAATGAGTTTTGACTAACTGACTTAGTTTATAGTTAGTGGACTTTTGTGATAACATGAGATTGTAGTTATAAAAATTAAATGCCTATATTAAACAAGCCATGTTGAAGCTGAAATCTTTGTCCCAGTTATGGAAAGACAAAAAGCTTGTATTCAATAACTTGATGGATTGATTCTTAAAATATTTTCTTCAATAAAAACATTTAAATGTAGTAACTGTTCCACACGTAACGTCGTAAATATACACCAGAATTTTACTATGCAATACTAAGCGTAGATATTGGTACAAATATACAAAAATAAGCTTATCTTAGTTTCAATGAATTAAATCTTGATTCATAGAAAATTTTAGCAGCTGAACGTGTAAATAGGTAATAAATAAATCGCTTAAATGTTTTGAAATTACTCATTGTTTTATTGATTACGAGTTTTAAATAGCTTAAATGTACGTTTCCTTACAAGTCAATAGACGAAATGGTCAATCCTAATGATGGGACATTCAAGTATTGTCTAAGAGTAATATATATAATTAACACGGAATTTACGTATTAATAAACCATTAATTCTATGCACAACTAAAGCATTATTAGTTACAAAGCTAGCCGGATGACGTAATCGTGACGTTTTTGCACAATTTGACGTAATGTAAACCTTGACAAGCTAAATTCCCGCGCAAAAGGATGTCAACAGGCTGTGGTATATTTATATTCAGACAATTAATAAAAAGTTTCTTATATGCAAAAATAAATAGATAAATATGTTTACGCGAGAATTCTGAACATCCGAAAATCTTTCGAACAGTATTTGGATATGATTCACCGATTACGGAGTGTAGTATTTGAGTTGACTCAACTTTTCTATTCATAGTTATTTAACTTGAACTATTTAGATAAATATTTTATATATAAATATTATAAATTTTTTCAATATAGCATGAAATATGTATATGTAAAAAAAAATGTGAAATTTACGTTCAAAAACTTATTTAATTATATCATATTTTGCATGATTATTAAAAAAGAAAAAAAGTAGTCCGTATTTAAATCTATATGTATGTGTCTACATAATTTTTAGTAACAAATGTAGTATAAGTCAACTTAAAATATTTTAAACATCTATTTTTACAAAAGCTACATATTTATAACTCATAATAGTTTTTTTTTCTTTTAAGAATCACTATTTCTATATCCTAGTTTTTACTTATACAGCCAACAAAACTGTTTATTAGGTTTTACAGATCAAAAATATACTAAATAGCTAAATGAAACATTTTTTCCCAAAGAGGGTTGATGTCAGGCAGACGACTAATAAAAACGATTAGCCAAAACTATTTGCGACATGTAAGGCAGACCCTGGCTTAATCTGGGGAATTACCAGGTAGAAGAAGGAGCTAAATGATTTTCTTTCTGAATATAATCTACTAAAATCATTGCCACAGCGGTAGAATGGAAACTAAATAGTATACATTACAAAGCATTTCGAAAATGATAAAGTAAATTGTATTGCAATCGATGATTCATAGACAATCAAGTGATAATGTATCATGTGTAAATATCTAGCTATCGGGGAATTTTACGGCCATTAAAAAAACTTATCGGTATAAACGACTTCACTATCCTTAGTATTATAATCTCTACTAATATTATAAATGCGAAAGTAACTCTGTTTGTCTGTTATTCACGCCTAAACCACTGAACTGATTTTAATGAAATTTGGTACAGACATAGAGTTGATCTTGAGAAAGAACATAGGATAGTTTTTATCCCAGACTTTTGAAAGGTTCTTTTGGAAACGCGATATAACCGAACACCACGCGGGCGAAGCTAGTACGTAATAAACTAGGTACTTACAGTTTGAAGTACCGTCAGTTATAAATTGGAGACTTTAAGACTGTTTTTTTTTTTTTTACTTTCGGTTGTAAGGCAACCGTGAAAATTTATTTTAAGTACAGTCACATATTTTGTAAAAATGTGATTACGTAAACCTACATAGTATTTAAATAAGAATTGCTTAAAAATAAATATAATGAGACGAAAACTTCTTATCATTCAATGTATTCATATGCGTGTGCCGGATCCATCGTTGTAGTGAGAGGAGCTTCAACAGTGACTGGGACTTGTGACCCAGGTGTAGGTTTAAGAAGTCCCTATCTAACGCGCGTTAAACTCTCACCACCACCGTCCAACCTACTCTCTCTCCTAACTAAATTTGAAAAGAATCTACTAGTGTTGCACTTCAAGATAGTCAAATATACCAATTAAATGAAACTAAGTTTTTCGCATACGTTTTTTTATTATTCTAAATCTACATACTCCCGACGTTTCGTCCCCTTTGCAGAAACCGTGATCACAAAGTCAAGATGAAAGTTAAGTTATATAACGATTCAAAATTCCTTTTCGCAGTTCAGAATATAAGTGTATAAAATTTCTTTATGCATAATCATAATGCATGCATAATCGACTGCATGTTCCTA